TACATTTAAAAGACACGTGATGGATGTCCCAGACAGATGTTTTTTCTGCACATCATTGTGGAATATCAGATTCCACACCTGACTATAAATGCAAAAGCTGTTAATGTTTCCCTCTACAGCCGTAATTGCCCAGGGAAATTATTTGCTTTGAAGCAAATCAAACACAAATTGCTTTGACTTTATGCTGACAACACGCTATGGGAAAAAATCACTAAGCACAAGGACAAGCTACTGTAGTGTCATGAGGATAAAGTCATTTAAATCTAATCAGTTACATTAGCTCTGCCCTGAGCCTCAGAGTGTGTTATTGAGATTTGGTGAAGGATGATTGTACAAAATGCTCATGTTGAGAATCCTAATTTCTCAGTGTGGGACATTTCATCCATGAGTAAAGGATTTTAAATGTCTTTACAAACTTTGAATCTTCCATCAACAAAAATAGACTGATTGTGTTTTATGCAACCAGAAGGAATATTTGGTAAATGATCTTATCTTTGGTAAATTAGTCTTTGGGGAATTTAAATGAGCAATAAGAGATAGAACGTCGTCCAGATCATGCTTTCTTTTAGTTCTTTCTGATTCAGCAGAAATATTTTAAGTTATTTTTAATGGCTTGAAACGTACTAAGAAATATGTAAAATATTGTCTTAGAAAAAACCCACAGTTATGTTTAATTCAGTTACAAGTTTAACCCTACTGAAGTCACCTCTACAGTTATGTCTTCATCTTACATCTCCCATACACACCTCGTTCCCACCGTTTCTGCATAAAAGGGCACATTAATTACTCAAACCACATGTAGAGTGTCCTGTAACAAGGTTACAAGCTTGCAGTCAAGTCAAAGTGTCCTTGGCCACCGAGTGCCCCCCCCCCCCCCCCCCCTCTGCGACAGCCTCAAGATGGACGCCCGCGGGTGGAGAACAGGACTCTGTCTCTCTTTCTCCAATTCAAACAGACGACTGGTTAAAGGAGAGCTTCACTAATCGTTAGCTGGAAAAAATCCCTGTGCATTTTCAGCCTCTTTTTTTTTTTTTTAAACGTTCACATCCAGTTGATTTCAAATGCTCGGAGGTCCCTCTCTTGGACCACATGCACGGGCTGCATGTGCAGCCTCAGCAAACTGTTCTTCAGAGCAATCAGAGGTTTATCAACGCAAACCTTTCGGAGTGCATTCAGAGCTGTGGAAGGGGGAAACAATCCAGCCTGAATGTGCCTTTGTTTGAGATGAAGGACATGGGCACTGCCGTGTGGGACTATTAAACCCACTTTCTGAAACAGTAGAGCCGTGCGTGTGAGGACAGCTCAAAAATAGAAGTGCCCCTCCTCCACTCCTTCAAAGGGAGCGCTGGGGCTGGGGGTGGGGGTGGGGGTAAGGGTGGGGATGGTGGGGGGGGTAATCAAACTCCGTGCTGCTCATTGGGACTTAATTACTTTCTGTCTTGCAGATTTGAGTTTTTGATGTTGGTAAGTTCACACTGAGTGTGTCTGTGTCCCTGGTCTGCTCCGTGTGTGTGTGTGTGTGTGTGTGTGTGTGTGTGTGTGTGTGTCTCTTTCATCAGCTGCAATTGTCTCAAGCGAGCAGAACCCCGTCATCATCATAGCGGTGGTGGCCGTGGCGGGGACCATCATCCTGGTGTTCATGGTGTTCGGCTTCATCATCGGGAGAAGGTACGCTCTCGCGGGCCCCATTGACTCTCCGCTCCTGTGAGTCTGCGCTTGTCAATTAGCCTCTCTGTCACTCACAGGCCTCCACGTCTGTGGAGTTGTCTCACTAACACACACACGCACACGCACACGCGTGCGTGCACCCGTCATCTCGTGGCATGCTGTGCTAATGGGTTGTGATGCTCCATTTTTGTTCCCCTCATCAGAAGCCCGCCGCAAAAAAATAAATAAAAAAATGTTAAGCTATGTTTGCGGTGCTGTGAAAGCAGCACTCCGCAGTGAGAAAGCCGTGCTTCTGCATTCCCGTGTGTGTGTGAGTGTGTGTGCCCGTTTCGAGAGGGAGCCGTGAAGTATGGCGCGGACTTTTTTCCATCATCACAAACCACTCAGTCCATTATCATCATTAGCTCTCATGCGTCCTCTGCACAAATGGAATGCCTGCCCAACTCACTTGTTATGATGAATTAGTCACAATGACGGAATTTGAATGCTTGTAGCCTCTATTTTCAATGTATGAATATTGCTTATGTATGTGTTACATCGAATGAAATACAGAAATATGATGACGGAAAGATTAGATCAATCTTAAGTCTAAAAAGAAACTGTCTTCTTTATTATCTTGAAATCTGGACTGATTGCATCATGTGGAGCTCAGGACTCTGTGGGGATTAAATACTGTCTGTTCACCCTCTAGCTAAAGATATTTTATTTGACTGTTTATGGTTATTGATCATATAAATTTAAACTCAAGTGGATTATAATAATCTTGGTCAGAAGTTTATTATTTATGATGTTGGAAGTGGTGCCCACATTGAATTAGCCTCATGTAAATTAAATACAATTTAGGGGCATTTAGTGGGTACGTTTCCCAAAAATAAAATGATATGCAGTGTAGAAACAATTATAGGTTTAGCATTTTTTAATGATTTCAGATTCAACTGTTTAGTTAAACCGGCTTAATGCCTGAACCTGTGAATAGATATTTTAAGAAGAGCTACTTGTAAAGTCACATTCAATTGAATAATTCATTTTAAAGCTCGTTAGTTTGGTTTTCCTATTCAATAAGTGAGTAAAAGTTTTAATGGGGACACTTTATGCATAGTTTTACCATAAAATGTGTGCACGGTGCAGTCTGGGAGTTTTACTGTGCGCTTGTATGGCACTTTTTGTCTACTGCCCAGCTTGAATAAGATAAAAAGAAGAGTAACCGTAGCTGAGAGAGTCACGGAAGTCAAACCAACAACCAAAACGTGTCATCTGAGAAAATCTCTGAGTCACACACTGGCTGTCCTTTACTGTGCATGAATTATTTAATGTGGTTCATAATACCAAATGTACCAACTTTTACTATCTTGCTGTTTAGATATGTTTCTGAAATGGTTTCTCATGCACTGCATTAGTTTCTACATTAAAATTGTTGCAATTTTGGCCTTTTTTTCCACGGTCCAGTCGGGTAATTCTTCCCCTGTCTTCCTCTCCTTGTGCAGGCACTGTGGATACAGCAAAGCCGATCAGGAAGGAGATGAGGAGCTATACTTCCAATGTGAGTCCCTGCATCCCTCTAAACCAGCTTTTTTCAACCTTTTTTGACCCAAGGTACATTTTTTCATTGAAAAAATCACGAGGCACACCACCAACCAAAAATGTCAAAAAAATCTGTAGCCGCCTATAGTAACACTATAGTTATTCTTATCTTATCTTAAGTGTCTTGAATAGGAATCAAGTAAACACAAAAATGAATTTTTATCATATTTTATATTTCTTCTTTCAAATTGCACTTAACATGTCCACTTCAATTTACAAAATTATATACAAAATCTAGTCATAAGGAATTATTTGATTACACCACCAGTCACTTGTACAGCACAGACACTCAAAAATGATTTGCAGATAATTCATTCCTTGTCAAAAAATCTTTTTAGACCAATTAGGTGAAATAGGATGATTTTCTACGGCACACCTGACCATCACTAACGGCACACTAGTGTACCGAGGCACAGGCGTTGAAAAACACTGCTCTAAACAATCTCATGCGTGTAGAGCCTGAGCAGACGCAGAGGCTGGCTCCTGAGCTCTGAAACAGGGGTTAGCCTTGAAACTCATTAGCACCCACCGGCACGTCCCTGATCCCCGTTTGCTTTATCTGAAGCACAGCCGGTATCTGTTAGGGGAACTTCTGCTGCTGATTGGCTGGACTCAGTATGTGCCAGTGGAGAAGTCAGGACACTACAGAGCTGTGAGTGGAGGGAGGGGGCATTATACCGACGGGGATATAAAGGGCATTTCTGCAAAGCGGAATCCCTCACACGTAGAAACCCTTTCCTGTCCGCGCTCGCTCTACAGCAGTAGGACCCGCTTCCATCAGTATGTTTTTCCTCTTAACTGATGCAACACCCCTAATGATGCCCCTGGAGAAACAGTTGCGCAGAGTTTTCCCCCCGAACGGAGCCGTAATGATCCGCGCTGTAGGCAACCGCTGATTTGGAAACAAAAAGGGGTCAGCGGTGTCACAAAGAGCCCGGGTTGGGTTCTGCTAAGTGTCTGACAGTTGCACCTCAGCAGTTCACAAGTCACACCTGCTGCAAAAAAAAAACACAAACAAGGCCTGCGTGGGGCTAAGCGGAGCTACCGGGCTGCGGTAGGAAATAACCAAAGGCTGTCAGGAGTGTGCCAATCCAACATGTACGCCCAATTTGTCCACTATGTAAAAGTGAGGAAGTCAAAATAAAACATCTCCTATCAGGCGCGCTGACACCTCAAATGGACAAAGCAATTACAGGAGCGAGTGGAGGGAAATCTCAGCATCCAGCTCCCTCTCACCAGAGCACAAAGGATTGGTTTTTATTCACCCCGGTGGAGTGGTCAGAGTGCAGAAAGCGGGGTGTTTTTCAGCCCGCTTTATCTCGTTACATTTTGAGGGGCTCAGCTCTTATTGTTACAGGCGGAGTTTAGAATGCAGACGGTTGTAGTTCCCCTGAGTGGCTCGTTTCCTTAATAATGCATAAGATTGTAATATATGGTTAATTTGGTGCTCTCTACAAACAGTGGCCTCATACCTTATCTCTGACCTTTTCTCTTATTGCGCAACAAACTCCCCTCTCTCACCTCATGGATATTCATGAACTGTTACCATACTGTAATTTTTTTAGAGTCCCATGTCTCTAGCCAGAGGCATCAGTCGAACTAAAGAATGTTGAACTAGTTCCACTCAATAAAACCTCATTTAGCTTCATTCAGACAACAGTTTAAAGTGTCTACGCACTCTCAGAAAATACAGATGTTAATTTCTATTAGCAAATCAATTCATAGAAAGCAAGACTGATTTTCAAGTCCAAAGTAATAGCTTCTTCAACGATCAAATGGAAATGGAAAATGCAGTGAAGATGTTGTTTGACTGAATGATTATTTTTAAAAATACATTCTCAATGTTTTTTTCAATGATTTAAAAACATGTATTGTGCATTAAAAACATAACAGGGAAAAAGAATCAGTGAAAGTTTAAACTGGTAACTTGTTCATCTGACGTTTTGAACTCATCTAACGATGTTAAGATATTAATTTTAAGATGGTCATGTCACAAATGTAATTTTAGAAATATCATCAGAGCGTAAAGGGAGACGATCAGAGTTGCTCATCAGAGAGTTAGTGGAACTGTTGACATTGCTTATGTTTGATTTCTTAAACATCCAAACCTGAACATCAGATTAGCACACGGCAAGATGAGTAAACAGAAATGAGGAAAATGAGTCATATCAGGCTGTAAGACTCTGATCCAGATACATATGTGAAGTGACATACTTTCATTTCATGGTTAAAACTGCTGGAAAACATGATTTCTCACCTTGGTCTGTGTTAGTGGAGCTGAAGAAGCCTCTGACTGAACACACTGGGGTCTGTACGGGTCTGTAGGGGTCTGTGCTGTATAGAGATGGGGAGGCTGAAGTATTTGCAGTCATTTTAAAGAACTGCATAAGTTGTAGTAATTGTATGACAATTCCAACAGACTTTAAAATACATTCTTCTTTTAAATATCCATTTAGTTTAAATGTGGGTCACAGAGAGGCAGGAGCCTATTGGTCCTAGCCAGGTTGCTAGTACATCACAGTCTTAATTCAGAGTAGCTGCTTTGAGTCTAGAGTATCTGAAGGCTGCAAAACAGAATTAGACTATGGGTTATAAAATGAATGGTGGTTATCACCGTCACCTTACAGCAGGAGGGTTCCTGGTTCTATTTCTTTTCTATGTGGAGTTTATACGTTCTCCCTTTGTCTGTCTGGTTTCTGTCCGGGTCCAGCTTCCCTCCAGCCTCCCAAAACATGCCCGTTAGCCTAATTAGACACGTCAAATTGTATCTAGCAGGGGGTGTGTGTGGTTGTGAGTCTCTGGTGATGGATGTAGCATTTGTTTCACTACACAAACACTTCTCCACACTCTCAGGACTTCAGCAGCACACCGGCATGGTCACGCTAATGACAGCCTACTGGAATATGCCTCACCCTCTTTTTTAAATGTTTTATTTTTTCTCAGAAGTCATCTTAAATGAAAAGCCTTTTTGACGCTGGCCGCTGACAGTTCAGCAATTCCCTTTGAATCCGCGGGTCTTGTTAATCGTTGGCGAGCCGAAGGCCCGCTGGTGCACGGTGTGCATACTCAATCATAACCGTAATCCTCTTACCTTTTTTACAGTTAAGTTTCCGGGCACCAAAACCTACATCGACCCTGAAACCTACGAGGACCCAAACAGGGCTGTCCATCAATTTGCCAAGGAGTTGGATGCCTCCTGCATTAAAATCGAACGCGTGATTGGAGCAGGTGAGCCCGTCCCGTGCCCCTCATACATGTGCTCTCATACATCATGCTGACAGGCAAATGTTTACACCTTGAATAGGGACACAGCTTTATGCATCGGGTATTGATAGAGCAATTGCAAAGGGGGGAAAAAAGTTCATTGCAATTAATGTGTGGTCCGTGTCTGGCGGAAGCGTGCGCGCGGCCGAAAAACTGCTGCCACATGGGTTTTCCACAGGCGGGCAGTGACAGCATATATGCATCTCAAGCATGACTTATTATAGTTCGGGGCTTTATTCTCCTGAGTGTAACAAGATGTCGCATCCCAATTTGTATCTGAGCGCCGCACAGCTGCTTTGTCTCAAAATACACTAATAAATTTGTCATTGTGAAGGGCTTGATCTTTTTTTTTTTTTTTTTTTAACCTTCTAACCTTTTTTCCTTTTTTTTTTTTTTTTTTTTTTTTCTTCTTTTTTTTGTTTTATTTATTTACTTATTTATTTATTTTTTGCTCTTACTGTTTTATTTTTATTTTTTATTATTATCTTTGAGTTTGTCTTGTGTTGTGGTGATGATTGTGTTTTCTGATCTGCTCAAATGACCTGTACAGCTTAGCTTTGATTTTAGCTTTGGCTGACTGAAAGCGCTTTATAAATAAAGTTGAGTTGAGTTGAGTTCTGGCCCCTGTGACTCAGTAATTGTTTCACCCCTGGCAGGAGAGTTCGGGGAGGTGTGCAGCGGCCGGCTGAAGCTGCCGGGAAAGCGAGACGTGTCGGTGGCCATCAAGACTCTGAAAGTGGGCTACACCGAGAAGCAGAGGCGGGACTTCCTGTGCGAGGCCAGCATCATGGGCCAGTTCGACCATCCCAACGTGGTTCATCTGGAGGGGGTAGTCACCAGAGGTAAGCGCCATGAACCAATCCTGATCCGGTATCTACACGCCGATCGCACAAAGGAGGAATGTTGAGCTTTGTGGGGTAAAATGAGCACCGATACCATCTGATTAAATTAGCTACATTTCCTAACATCTTTCCCATTTAGACAATAACAAAAGGAGCAGATGGTAACTTTTAATTGAAAGCCGATCGAATGCGCAGCTAGAAATAACCTTTGGCTTAGACATTTAGTCGCAAAGTATCTTGAAAGAAACAAATGTACCTAATGATTAATCGTCTCTTTTGTAGTTCATTTTATCATTTTTCTTTTTTTTTCCAGGAAAGCCCGTCATGATTGTCATTGAGTACATGGAGAACGGCTCATTAGATGCCTTTCTCAGGGTGAGTATCACCTTGGAAGAGCGGGAGGCTGAAAGTGGCATTTTCACGATTTTTTTTTTAAAGCAAACTTGTCCCAGAGAGCAGCAGCGAGTCTGCAGCCAGATCTGCTCACAGCATAAATATCATAAATCTTGTGTTGGAGCTGCTGCAGTGTTGCGACCTACATTCCCCCCTCTGGTCAGCGAGGAAAGGCTGACCGGCCTGTGTTTCTCTGTGCAGAAGCACGATGGCCAGTTCACAGTCATCCAGTTGGTGGGCATGCTGCGCGGCGTTGCGGCGGGAATGAGATATCTGGCCGACATGGGCTACGTCCACCGGGATCTGGCCGCCAGAAACATCCTGGTCAACAGCAATCTCGTATGCAAAGTGTCCGACTTCGGCCTGTCCAGGGTGATAGACGACGATCCCGAGGCTGTCTACACAACAACGGTGAGTCCATTAGAGCGGGCGCGCTCCGTACAGAGAGGCTGTCTGAATTCACTAATCTGGGTTCTGCCGGGCTGTGAACGTGGAGCTGAATCCAAGTGCACGTCAAAGTAGGCTCTGATCTGTAAAACCAGCCACTGTTCTGTAAAAAGCTGTACATCTAAACTTCTAAGAAAAATAATGTATTTTTTAACCATTAACAGTTAAACCAAAATCTCTTTAAACTGAATGTAATCGACATAAATATCATAATATCAGACAAACGTCTGTGTAATGAAGTCATTAAGTGAAAAAAACAACAAGACATTGGCTTTAATGATGAAAAGACTCAGTAGTTTTGCGTCATTTTTCCCTGACAGGAAAAACTAATTTGCCGCTTCTTGATTCATAAATGTGAGTAAAGTCATGAACTGTGTTGGGCCATTTTTTTTAACATGTAATAGATTTAACAGTTGGGATATTAATTGATAATTAAGACAATAATTGATGGCAGCTTTACTAATTTGCTTTTTCTATTAAGTCAGCAGCATGTAATTAAAAATAATCTGTCAAGACGTTAGCTGTTAATGCTAAGGAGACGTTATTAACTGGATTTGGTGTGTAGCCAAACAGCAACAACACTCAATGGTTTTTGTTTTTTTCACAGGATACAACCAACAGTTTATAGCTCGTACAAAAGATGAAGTCTTTATAGACACTGGCCTGAAATACACCTCTATATTTGCTTCTATTTTCATTTCAAAGCAGATGCAAAGTTGAACAAACGATTTGAAGTTGAGTGTGTGTCGGTACTTTTCTCTCTGATGAAGGAATGATTCATTTAGTGTTTTTTTTTGCCATTTTCATGAACAGGGGGGCAAAATACCCGTCCGGTGGACTGCGCCAGAAGCCATTCAGTATCGGAAATTCACTTCTGCAAGTGACGTCTGGAGCTATGGGATTGTCATGTGGGAAGTCATGTCCTATGGGGAGAGGCCTTACTGGGACATGTCCAACCAAGATGTGAGTTATTTCTCCATATACTGTACAATCAATAGGAGAATAAGAAAAGATTCTGTGGAATAACACCTCACCAAAAGCCTGTGAGGCAGATTTGTGGAAACATGTTCGGTTAAATGATACTAAAATCCTCAATATCTTGATACCTTTTCTGTCTAAACCAGTTACAGATTTCTGTGTTTGTTCTCAGTATAAGTTTATGGCATTTAAAAAATAAAGTAAGTGCCTCTGCCTTCATGAATTTAAGGGCTTTCCTTTAAGTTCTGTATTCCCATTTTCATGTAGTTTTGAAATTGCAGAAAGTATTGTAAGTATCTTTAATAATTCATTTAGTAACTGAGCATCGATTTCCCCCAATAAAAACACCCTGACAGCATGTCTGTACGATGGAGCTGAGCTGTGTGCTCTTAAGCGGGGCCTGAATTAGGAAGTTGAGCATTTTTTATCAGATTCATCCTTAATTATAGCTAATGAAGTCCTCCCACTAAATTGTAAAGCACCAAGACCAAAATTTCAAATTTAGTCTTGAGGCTGTCTAACAAGATCCTCAAGAGAGCAGCTCTAAGAGGACAATAACCTTCAGCTTAATTAGTTAAGAAGTCTTGCTCTAATCATGCAGTTTGAATCCAGTTGAAGGAGAAACAAGCCTGAAGTGGGGCATGCATTAAAACCCAGTCCTGGTGAGGTTATTAATATAGATTACAGAGGACGAAAACACTTTCCATGCTGAATTGGCTTGATTTAAAAAGTGTAGAATGACTTATGATAACAGGAACCGGTCTGACTAGCAGTCATTAGATTTTAGATAATTTACGTTGCGGTTTGTGTTAGTCTTAAAGATAAATCTTCATGGTTTGTAAAACTGTATGAATTCAGGTTATTGAGTTTTTCATCCAGTGCAGCGTTTCTGTCTTTGCTGAATAAATAACCATGGAGACAGTACTGCTGTTTTACCTCAGCTTTGACAGTCGCACAAGGTTTTACTGAAATGTACAAATAGAAATGTAGAATAAGGTTATAGCAGAAATCATCGATAGATACAAAAGCTCAACTTTCTTCAGCCACATCACTTTGAGATATTCAATCCCTTAAAGCAAAGGAAAGGGCCCTAAAATATGTTTTCTTGCTCTAAAAACGTAAAGAAACCCAATACAAATTTAAAATGCAGTCTTTGTTCTCATTCTTTGAAACTCAACATGGAAGTGAACCTTTTAACTCTCACTCTGTAGATTGCAGTATTTTCCATTCTTAAGCCCATTTGCTTTTCCTAGTCAAACATGTCATTTGACAGAAGTCACAAATTGCCATAAAGACTTAGTGTTCCGAGTGTTGTTACGCGCTTTCCTGCCAGCTCCCACCGTCAAAGTCCTACTGTGCCAGACCTCTGGAAGCTGCTCCTTATTCACGGATACTTGACACATTTTGATTGATGGTGGAGGAAAAGCACGTTCTGGCCTCTTCCTATAAGGCTTCCAGTGTTTAGCGCCCACACCATCATAGCAGAGCGTGATTAAGAGTCCCGGGCCCCGCCGAGCTGAAGCCTGCTGATTGAACAATCAGATGTTAGAAATGCTAAACAAGATGCCTCTGCTACTTGACAGACATCAGTGTCAGAAATATTTTTTGCGCTTTGTCAAGATGTCAGTAAATCCTGCCGGGATACCAGAAGAACAGGGTTTGCATTTTTTTCTCCACTGTTTCAGTACGTTGACACCTTTTCCCACCGATCTTTTTTTTGACTGCTCCTGACAGGAGCAACTGATGAATGTATGCAGGAATGTGCACGGCTCCGCATCCATACAATCAGGGACGGATGGCTGGGGCTCAAAATCTAAGCACCATTTTTCTCACCGCATCGATTTTAAATGAACTCAGAGCTAAACTGCACACGTGATGCAGACTACTAATGGCCCCCGTTGAAAAGGGTTCGTGGAATGTTAGCATGCTGTGTTTAACAGGGCTGTATAAATAGAACCTTTTGTTTTGACATATGAACAATGTAGAAAAAAAAAACCCCCGTAGCATGAGCTGCACAAAGAATTTGAAGTGTGACTGTAAAGGTTATCTGTAACATCTTGAAATCCGTTCGAAAAATTACAGCCAGCCAGTAAAGAGCAGCCGGGACCTTTGTAACCTGATCCCCCCCCCCCCAAAGCGCTGGTCTGAACTAAAGCCAGCAGCAGAGTGCGCCTCTCTGGATTGTTTTCCAACTGAGGCTCATAAGAGAAGCAGTCAAACAGGATAAAAACAGGAGTGTCACATTTTCAGGATCAGGAAATGAGAAAAACACCGTTCGGATTCGGTAATCCTCACATTGACCCGTAGCATCTCGGTCCACTCATGCTGCTCTCATTTGTGTGTTTGGATTTTTAATACTGTAATTAGAACATTGAACCCGGCTGGAATGCGGTCAATGGAAGGGAAAACAGCTTTAACAGACTTTTCTGATTAGTTTACATTAAGAAATCTGTAATTCATATAAATAAAACTTTGTCTCTGATATATCCTAATCCTCTCACACATGTGTGTGTGAGAGGGCTTCCGGTGTGTGTGTGTGTGTGTGTGTGAGAGGGGCTCCGGTATGTGTGTGTGTGAGAGGGGCTCCGGTGTGTGTGTGTGTGTGTGATGTGTGTGTGTGTGTGTGTGTGAGAGGGTCTCAGGTGTGTGTGTGTGTGTGTGTGAGAGGGGCTCCGGTGTGTGTGTGTGTGTGTGAGAGGGGCTCCGGTGTGTGTGTGAGAGAGGGGCTCCGGTGTGTGTGTGTGAGAGGGGCTCCGGTGTGTGTGTGTGTGTGTGTGTGTGTGTGTGTGTGAGAGGGGCTGAAAGCGTCTTCTATGGTTTTAGCTTTTTGAAGCTAAAATGAGGCAGAGCTTTTCTTTCTGGATTTCCAGGTTATCGTACCATCAACCCGCCTAATTCTGCAGAGTGCATTCACACAAAAAGAAAGCTTTGGGAAAATGGTTTTAACTGCATTTTAACTGCCTCTGAAATGAGAAAACAGTGGGACTGCAGAATAAAATACCAGATTATTCCTCTCTGCTCAGGCACAAAGTGGAGAGATTGATACAGCTAACCGATTCAGTTCATCTCTTTCTCTCAGTTTTTTCAGTTTTGAACTTTTTATGCTAAATAGACTTGTTACCAAAGTTGAATGAGGGCCTGGAACAGAATATATTTATTATTCACAAAATGCATAATCTTTATATTAGGCTATCAAATTCATGCAAGTGCTCATCTGAAATGTGTCTTTAAGGTTTTGTGGCCTCTTAACTGTTTTTACTTTAGTGATCTGTCAGAGTAGCTGAGCATAAAATACAGAATTTTATTGAAGTCTTTTGCACATTTCTGTGTTAATGTTTTCTTTCCTATGGAAAATCTCATGCTGCTCTTAATAGATGAAATAGGTTAAAAAATATGGCATTTGTAAACGTCCTCAGTCCTCATGCTGATTTCATTCCCCGCTGGTTCGTTCCAAGTGATGAACGATAGTTTGTGTTTATTTTTTGTCACATAAGACAAATCAAATTTTTTTCATTTTTTGTTGTTTTGATCCACAGTTGAGAAAAAGGGGCAGATGTTATAAGATTATTTTCTTCTTTCTGCTACCTTTCATTTAATTTTTTTTAAATTAATTTTTTCTTTGTATTGAATGAAATGAATAATTTTTCTTTGTATTGAATGAAATGAATAAATAAATAAATAAATAAATAAATAAATAAATAAATAAATAAATAAATAAATAAAAAAAAATAAATAAATAAATAAATAAATAAATACATACATAAATAAAATAAAATAAAATAAAATAAAATAAAATAAAATAAAATAAAATAAATAAAAAATAAAATAAATGTAACTCTGCTCAGAGACATAATCACAACACCCAGGATGTTCCGGGACGACCTTATGTTGGATCTCACTGTAGGCGTTAAGACATTTCTTTTTCTCACTTTCACAGATCTTAAACTTTCATACGAACTCGTTATGAACCAAAACCATGGCTGCGGTTTCTCCAGGACGCATTCATTATGAATGTCCCCTCCTTCAGTTTCCTGACTCATAGAAACAAAGACGAACATTGTTTGTGTTCAGTAACTCAGGCCGTTATGTCCAGCAGGATCCGTTTCCCTCTCAGTGCTCTAAACACACCGCAAACAAAAACCCTCATCATCCTCACAAGCATTTAGTTATGCAAACAGACCTGCACCTATAAAGACACAAGCTACTGTATCTGTTTTTCACCTGTTGTAGGATGAGAATATAAACTGTATTTACATGTTTGAGACTGTGTTGATGCATTTCAGAGGATGATGTTATAAGAGGGACTCTTCATCTTGAGCTGTTCTTGTGCTCTTTGATTAACTCTCTTAAAACTAATGTAAGGGTCATTCTGTTTGCAAATGTTAACTGTCAATCTATTAAAAGTAATATCACGTTAGCTGTGATAGAAAAGATGGATAAAACCTTTAGAAGTTCATTAAATTGTAGAATTTTCAATAAAGCAAACCGATATCCTCAGATACACACATTTTAAATATCATACTTATTCTGTCAGTTCACGTTGGCACTCTTGTGATGTAGTTTTTCTGGGTAGACGGTCACGTCCTTGAAGTCAGCACAACTCTCGTTATAACTTCTCCCACTTTAGGGAAAACTTGAAATCAGTTCAGCAAATCTGAAATGACTCGCTCCACAATCGCTTCCCAACGCTCCTTCCTGCAGCCGCTCTGATTTGACTTTGTGTTCCCCTTTCTTCAGACACAGCTAGCACATTCCACTGCATTCATTTTGCAGGAGTTTTTTCCCTTCAGGGGAGCATTAGTGGGACATGTAGTCCCAAGGCCCTACATTCAACATGTGGACCTGGGACACAGGAACCAAACAGCAAACCTTCCGAATGCAGAGTTCCCCCTGAGTTACAGTTAAGGGCAATTTCCGTTGCCCCTGAAAAGGCTTAGGGTTTTAGTGTTAGGGCTACGAGGAAACTACAGAGTGATTTTACAGACAAAGGGGGGAATGCTCAGCTATTTTAGGATTAAGGTGCATAATGTGCTCCAGGTGTGTATGGACTGAATCAGGATTTCAGTGTTTTTAAATGATCCTTTGGGCTTAGGATCGTTCCTGATAAAGTTCGCTCTGTGTTCCAGGTCATTAAGGCCATAGAGGAGGGCTACCGACTGCCCGCCCCCATGGACTGTCCACCAGGACTGCACCAGCTCATGCTGGACTGCTGGCAGAAGGACAGAGCTGAGCGTCCCAAATTCGACCAGACAGTGGGAGTCCTGGATAAGATGATACGGAATCCCAACACCTTGAAAACTCCAGTCGGAACGTGTACAAGGTAAGAAAATAAAACCTCAAATGAATCGTTTACAATTGTATTCATGCAATAAAGACGTTTTAGTCATTTTTGTGTGCATTAATAGATAATCTAAAGAGCCCAGTAGATGATTTAGTCCATCTAGTCCAAAGATTAAAGATCATTTCTGGGAATCGATTCCCCACAGCAGCCATTACAGACTGTATGGTCAAAAACAGGATTTAAATTAGTCTTTATATGAGCTTCTGGTCAAATCACCGGACATTTGTCAGGTTTCTTTTTGTTTTCTATACTTTTCTGAGGTGTGATAGCTGGTTAAAAGTTAATCCACTCAGGAATGTATTCAGAAAGGATGTTGAAAACATGATTTTATGAAGCTAAGGCTGGCATTCTGCTTCTATTTCTGAGTTTCTTTTGGACTGAGACCTTCAATCATCGCATTTTTTTTTTCTTCTGACGATTTCCTGCCCGGTTGGGTGTCTTTGGCGGCCGCTTTGTCTCGTCTTTTGCTTGATTGTGTTTGCAGTGGAACGCTTCCTTTTCATATGAGACATAAACATCTTCCTGTGCTCATCCTGCAGACCAATTAGCCCACTGTTAGATCAGAGCACACCAGACTTCACTGCTTTCCGCTCAGTGGGAGAGTGGCTGGAAGCCATCAAGATGGAGCGATACAGAGACAACTTCACAGCAGCGGGCTACAGCTCCTTGGAGTCTGTGGCCAGGATGTCAATCGAGTAAGTGGATGTGAAGCCCCTCAGGAGGTCAGAAATCTGTAGAAAACACTGGACCTAACAATATGAGGCCCTCCTTTCTTTTATCTGTATATAAGTCCACACATCTTACTTGATTCACACCTTCAGGAAAAGTTTTTCCAAACACTCCAACCAATAGCCTTGACCTTTACTTACTAAAGCAGCCGAGAACATTTACATCGCACATTAATTAATTTATTATTGTTTTAAAGAGTCTCGGCAATGTGATTTTGATTGATATTTTACTTTTATTTTTTCTATGACTACTATCGTTTGATAGGAGGGCTCTATAGCTCTGACATTCATTTTTATTTAAAAAGAAAAAGAGCTTTTAGCTTTTTATGTTTTTAATTCTTTTCTCTATGCAACGAAGATCAGAATGTTTCAAATGCAGAGACGTTTATTCTACAGTGCTGCTAAAAGCGCTCGACTCCCAGGAACTAATCTGTCATTTAGATGATTCATTTCTCACTTGTAGAAAGTCGCTGCACTTTGCTTCTGTTGAGCCAACATCGGCCTCCTTTGTCCTGAAAATACCTGAGTTTAGAATCAATTAAACAGAAAAATGAGCCACGTTTTGTTAAGTTCCTCTCAGTGCTTCTGAGTTAGTGAAGTGTAGAGGAACGTCTGACTGAGATGATGTCCTGTCCTCCAGGGATGTGATGAGCTTGGGGATCACGCTAGTAGGCCATCAGAAGAAGATCATGAGCAGCATACAGACTACCAGAGCCCAGATGCTGCACCTTCACGGTACTGGGGTCCAGGTGTGAGCAGCCGGGCCGGGCGGCCAACACGGACCCGATCAGGAGCAGAACCTGGGACAGAACCCGGGATAAACGTGAGGGACAGCGGGTGTCTGACTCCTTCTGCTGCGTCTGGAGCAAAACGGGGTTCTTCTCCTCAGCCAGGGGTGGAGATCCATCACCTGAGGAGAAGAGAGGCAAGGAGCCGCGGCGGAAAACATAACTACCTGAACGAGATGTGGTTTTTTGTGCTTACTTGTAGGAGCGCTTAGGAACTCAATCACATATCAAAGGGAGCATTGGAAAGGAGTTTTAACGTGTTTGTTTCTTTAACTTGACGAATGATTTAAGTGCACACCAGGACCGTGGACTTCCTTCACTGAGAAGAAAAAAACTTGTTCAGTTGTGGTGATTTGACTTGTTTCTTTTCTCTAATGAATCTTTTTTAATTCTGCCCTTTCAAAAGTTGCTTTCATTCTTCTCTTTGGATATGACAACAGGGTATACAACACAGAGGTGCAGATTCGAGCTATTTATTTGTGATGAGACGTGTTGGAGCTGTCTGTAGTGACTTACTCTTCCCGTTCCTGTGCCGTTTAAGTGAAAATTGTATCTTCACATGCTTCCTTCCAGCCCATCAGAGTGGGGTCTTTGTATTATTTCAAATGTTTTATCAGTGATTTTGAAAATAAGCGCAACACAGAGGAGATCCAGAGGAAAAGTTCTTCTTCTAATCACCAGATTTTATACTGATAGTAGCAATATCCTTTTCCTAGTAGTCACTACAGGAAACAACGATTTGATCATCAGTCAGCACAGTTAAAAAGATTGTATTGAAAGTGTAGCCACTGCATGTTGTTTTGCCATCATTCTGCCTAAAATGTTGCACACAAGGCTTGTTTTGGTGTTTTGTTCAGCGAGAACAATATTTAAGAGTTGGTTCCAGAAACAAGTAGATGTAATACTGCCTTAAAAATTAGATTTAGTATTGCCTCTATTTTAGGCACTTTTATGGCAATCCTTTCTATGGCTCGTTTCAAGGGTTTTTCTTTTCTTTTTTTTTCCTTGTAGTGTGATGTCGTCCTATTTGAAACTTGATCTGGTGTGCGCAGACTCTAATACCAGACTTTAATACCAGGAATGCCACAGTCAGAGAGGGAAAGCTTGACTTAAAAATGAGCAATAATTACCAGGGAGAAATGGTCCTATATGAGATTTTCAAGGTGCTAGATTGAAATACATGTGCATGCTGTGTTTAGACAAACCCTTTGGAAAGATTCAGTCACCCCCAGAGCTGAACTCTTTAACCTCGAACAGCTTGGTTAGTACTCAGAAAAACTGCCGTGCCGAGTCATCAAATGAAATAATCGTGTCGTATTTTGCCACTCTGATATGCTAAACATTTGATGAAAATCTAACATGGCATGGAAATGTTAAATTGAGAGGCTGCGCAGATGAAAGCAGCACCATTTAAAACTAGAAAGGTGCCGGTTAGTCACGCTGACATCATCTTCTGACACATTGCACCACCTAGAAATCAAAGAGCCCCTTCAGGGTTTGCTTTGGAGCAGGCGGGACCAAAGGATGGAGCCGGGTGGGACGCAGAGCGCCGGTTAAATCCCCCCGTCCTGGCTCTGCGGGCCGCCGCGCAGGTCTCTGGTTTATTCCTCCGTCTCACCCAGCATTAACGCGACGGAACAGGCATCCAAACGGTTCTTAAGAGCCCTGGCTTCTTTCTTCCATGTGACTTTGTGTGGAGACCAGAGATGCGGGGCTTTAAAGATGAGCTAAAAGCCAATCAAACTCTTCGGTGCCATCTGTTTCCTCTTCTTCTGTGTTAAATATGTTATTGCCGTTTTCTTTGATGAGGATATTCATTTATTCAGCTGTCATTAAAGGGGGAAGTGGTGCTCACAGAGGAAAACCACCCCGACTTCTCTCACTGCTGCTTTAACCTGAGCAACAAATCCACATTTTCAAAGGTGTCTTCATCTTCTGAACGTTTCCTTGGTCCATCATGGCTGAAATGTAACCGCACAAGACGTCAGATTGAGCATGACTACAGGCAGTAAAACCATCCGGAGCCTTTTCTCCCAGAGCGCGCCGACGTTTAGACAGTCTGGTTTTACTCTCTGTCCACATAAAAGTGGTGGCTAAATCTAGCTGAAGGGGACTGGAAGCAGATGTTGAAAGAAAGGAGAATTATTGCTGTTTTCCTACTTATTAGTGCGTCGGTGAACCTGAAAAAGCTAATGAGGATATGTGTCTGGCTTCATGTGGACACAAGTCTGCTGTAAATCACTTTTTATCGTGGGACTCACCTCTGTGAAAAAAAACCAGAAAATTAGCCCTGACCAGACCTCCCTCCTTTTATCCGTACAGCCCAGTTCAGCAGTTGGACCCGGGCCAGAACTTTGAATTGAATACAGCCATAAAATCATTTAGTCAGCACAAAACTCCCCATTTCCCAGGCAGCAACTGGTCCCTCACACCAACGGCTCTGACAAGGCCCAGATTTTAAAGCTGGGCCTTAAGATGAGCCCTGTCCCTGGGGTGAAAGGTCTCTCTTTTATTCCTTTAGTCTTTGTCCTGTGCCGGAGAGGCAGCAGATCAAGCCAAATTGAGATTAACGGCAGGATACAATCGATTCAGCATCCAAATCAATGTAGGTTCACTGTCTGTTTCAGCTTATTTCATCAGTATTCTGAACTTCAGGTAATGCGTTTCTCGTGGCCCTTTTCAGCAAAGACATAAAAAAGAGTGAAAAAGTGACAAAAGATAAAAACTAAACAGAACCCTACAGGTAACGGTGAACGGGCTGATATCAGGAACAGCAGAGTTTGGCGTTATTTTTCAAATGGAGCAGTCGGAAATGGGTTTAGCTGTTTGGTGAAGCGGTGGATAATTCCAAAGACAGCAGCACTGTCGATTGTGTCAGAAGGAGCAGAGACTGGACGGGATCTTTGTATATGTTCTCTGTGTAAAACTTGTACATTTTATTTATATTGTTTTTTACACATACTACTCCGTAGAGAGCTCTGAATACATTTAAAATGCACTATATTTTTCTATCTTGCAGATGAATTATTGTCACCCACAAGATTCAGTTGTACATATTTTGTTTTTTCATTTAGGACCAAAGACAGATGATAGGATTTCCATCTAGGACTTTGTTTTAAGTTTGCCTTTACTTTGTTGTACAGTAATAAAAAATGTCAAGTTATTATTTATTTTTCTGTGTTGAAAGTATTGACAATATCCAGTGGTCAAAAGTATTTTCCCCAACAATTCTGTAAGATCATTTCATTAAACAATTTCTTGTTACATAGACAATTCTTTTTGCTTTGTAATCTTTGTAATAGACATTGTACATATATTTTTGGAAATATAATGCAATCTCTAAAGAATTTCTGTTCTTTGTTGTGTTCTTTTATTCTTTCTTTTCGGCTTTTACATAGAAAGGTGTGCAGGTGTCTTTATTTCAATGAATTCCTTTCATTTGAACCTTTCTCAGGTCGAACTGCTGGACATTTGACTTTTTCGTACTCAGAGAAACCAACAGTTAAATTTCACACATGCGCTTTAAATGCATGTTAAAGTGTATCTTTACTTAAAAATAACTATAGATGGATTATTAGTGGCTTAATCTCCCATTTGTCACCCTGATGGCCTCTGTAGTTTGCCTCAGGTGGATTTTGGTGTGCACATCATTCACCACAGTAATTTGCTGAGTGTCAGTATAATCCAGTAAATTCTGATCCATGATGACAGAACCATCTACCATAAAATCTTTTAAGAATTGTCTTGTCTCATGTATAAGGCTTAAAGTGGCAACAGTAATGTGCCACTATCATTTTAATGATACAAACATGTGAACATTGAACAGGTCTTAAATGCACGTTAAGACTTTAATAATGTGAATGTTGGGAAATAATGATTCTCCCTGCATTTATGAGACATCTGACTTGTTCTGACAATACATTCAAACTGCTTTGCAGTTTAATTTCAGATATACTTAATATGCACAATTATAGGTTATGCTGGTAAGAAAAAAAAAAGGGTTCTACTGTTTATTTCTGATGTGGTTTGTTTGTGTGTAAATGCTCTTGGGAAAATGAGTGGACACACTGACAAACTTCCTTAGATATCTGTACTTTATAGGAAATTCAGAGTTCTCATCCACAATTTCAGGTTTTTTATTTATATATTCCAGAAATTTAATTTGAAGTAGCATTATTCTGATTATATCTTAAAATAGCGACATTATGGTACTATAATTTATATTTTGTAATAATCTTTACTTTGGATTATTATGGTTGCAGAACTGTTCAACTCTCTCTGTGTAGTGTCTAGTTGACACCCTCATGTGTATCTTCCTTTTCTTTTCCTCCTCTTTTCTCATCAGATGAAGCTGGACAATCAGATAGTGCTTCAGGTGGAATCAGGTGAAATTCTAATCCCACTGCAAAATGATCTCACTGCACACTGGTATTTTGCAGTGAGAACTGATGGATCTGTAGTTGTTAGTGAGGAGGGAACATACTTTTAATCTTTAGCTGAACGTTTGCTGTGCTCTTCTCTTTGTTCCTTATTAATTTCAGCATTCAAAAATTCAGCAGAGAATCTAAATGTATTTTGCAAACCAACAGCTGCTTATTAAGTAATTGAATTGGATAATGACCAGTGTCAGCACAAATAATAACCTACAGAAATAACTAATACATATACAGAGCAAATAATTGTAAGTATACGAAGCATGAAAAATACTTCAGAGCCTAAAAGCTTAAAATGGAGACTTTTCATCAGCGCACGTCCTGAGTACACTGTATCATGTCTAACCACAATCAGGCATGTTTAGAGTAGAATGTCCACTTAATTTGAAAAAATCACTCGGTCATTTAGGGGAAAACTCGCAAGGTGCAAGGAAAAAAAAACACAAAACAGGAGCTATGCAGTATTTTTTACATAGGACAACATAAAGTAGGTTGTAGATTTATTTTAGATTTATATTTGATCTTGAAATTATT